TACTGGCAGTCTGTCAGATTCCTTCAGGTCTGCCTCGGCTTGTGCTTCTGGCTCTGGGTGGCAGAGACAGGGCCACACGGCGAGGGCCTCTTGGACAGGAAGACGCAGTGTTGGGGGAGATGAGACCTGGGAATCAGTCTGCACCCAAGAGGGCCAGAGAGCAGGGACTTCTGTCTGGAGATCCCAGTGGGTAGACGCAGGACAGTCACATGGCCGTGGCCAGTGGGGCAAGTGGCGGCCAAGGAAAGTGGTCAGGGGTTGGGGCTGGAACCCCCCTCTCAAAGAATTTTAGATGATCAGTAGCAATATGGAAAATAGGCAGTGTAAAACAGATACTTCGGGTCACCTGAACTCCCACCGTGAGAGCGGACCCTGGGAGGGGTGAACCGGGTGTGGGGGTGATGGCGGTTGCTTGCCTGGTGCTCTGGCTCCAGGGTTTATCAAGCGCAGTATAGATGATGCTCTCAGATGATGCTTCTTCATTGTTTTGTTTTTAGTTTCCTTTTTATTTTTATTGACGTATCATTGTTTTATGTCTTTGTTAGTACTTTCTTTTAAAGATTTATTTATTTAAGCATATAAGTACTGAGGTGTAGGCCAGAGGTGCTGGGGGTGAGAGGATTCAGAGACAGAGCGGGAAGCAGAACAGACGGACTGATGAAGTGCACTGCTGAGGGGAGCAGCGGGGAGACAGGAGAGGTCTGCTGAGCTCGGTGGGTCACTCCCTGGCTGGAGATCGAATCTGTGAAGCCCCTGCGGCTGTGGCTGCTTTCATAGTGCTGCGCTTTAATCGTTGCACCACCAGAGAGGCCTGTTAGTACTTTTTTTTAATAGCTTGGTTTATTTTTGCACAGTACTGGGGAGTAGGCCAGAGGTGTGGGGTGGGGGAATGAGAGGATTCACCAGAAACAGTAGGTAACAGAACAGGTGGATTTACTCGAATACCCTGCTGAGGGGAGCAGCAGGTGAGACAGGGGAGGTCTGCTGTACCCGGTGGGTCACTCTCTGGCCAGGGACAGCACTGAGACTTAACCCTCAGGCCTCTAGGGAGGCCCCGTCTTTGTTAGTACCTTGACATCATGTCTTTTAATAGTCCTGTGAGGCAGTTGCTATTCACGTATGGAAGGGAAAAGGGAAGCATACAGAGGTTGAACTACTTACTCAGCTTACCGCAGAGCAGACACGTACGAGAACACGCACACTTTGATACCCTGGGCTGTCATTGGGCTCATGAGTGTTTTCTGGTTCTTCTCATTCACTGTGTTTTGGTAACTTCACATCCACTCACAAAGGTAAATTAACTAATGTAGAGTGTGGTAGTGTGCAGGAATGACATACTTTGATAACTGACCCATACTAATTTATTTATGCATATAAGAGCTGGGGTGAGGCAAGAGGTATGGGGTGGGGTGAGAGGCTTCACCAGAGACCGAGTGGGGAGCAAAACAGGCAGATCCACTGAAATCCACTGCTGAGGGGAGCAGCGGGGAGACTGGAGAGGTCTGCTGTGCCCTGTGGGTCACTCCCTGACCAGGGGTGGAACTCAGGCCTCAGTGGCTGACAATAGCTTGATAGCACTGAGACTTTAACCCCTGCACCACCAGGGAGGCCCTTGTGAAAATTCTCTTGACAGAATATTGAGGAGAAACAGACAAATCCACCATTATAGTAGTTAATAGATTATTTTAATGATAAAACATTTAAAAAGCAGAATTTGTATGATTTGATTATCAACTGGTTAGTAGACATGCAGAATATTGTGGGCATATATATCCTCAATCACATATAGAAGATTCCCAAAATTGACCATATACTAGACCAAAAGGCAAAGCTTGTCAAATTTCAGAGCATCAGTGTCTTACAGGCTCTGTTGTCTGTGTAATAATTAAAAGCTAGAAATCAATTAAACTGGAAAGATCTGCCCCTCCTCCCATATTTGGAAACAGCAAAATGCATTTCTGAAAGAGAATTTGTGGTATAATTTACTGTTTAATCATCAGACTTTTCTAATGTGAACAGATGATGAGTTACCACAAAGCAACTGTATTTATCTGGAAACTTAGGTGAAGTGGACATAGTCTCAGGAGAAAGTTTAAAGCTGGTTTAGGAAGAAAGAGAAACCCAAGACTACTGCCACTGTTAGTGAAGGAATCGAAGCAGTACTTGGACGGTCTCCCAGAAAACAATCTCTGTTTTCTCTCCTTTTTAAAAAAAAGTTTAATTTTATTTGGGCATACAGAACTGGGGTACAGGCCAGAGGTGCTGGGGCAGTGAGAGGATTCATGAAAGACAGAGCGGGGAGCAGAACAGGCAGATTGGCAAAGTACAGTGCTGAGGGGAGCAGCGGGGAGACAGGAGAAGTCCCCTGCGCCCTGTGGGTCTGCACCCTGCCTGGGGATCGAACTCGGGCTGAAGCAGCTGCAGCTGTGCACAGCTTCACAGTGCTGTGCTTTAGCGCACTTGGGCCACCAGGGAGGGCCCACAACCATCTCCGTTTTCTGAACTCTGAGTGGGGCTCAGCTGAGTGCCCCGCCAGGGGCCCCGGGCGGCCGGTTTCAGGAAGCTGCGAAAGCACCGTGTGAGCAGGCAGAGGCCAGCCAGCGTGGGGTGACCTTGCACTAACGCTATCCCTGCACAGTGTCCATTACAAGAGCAAGGACTTAAATGGGGCTAACCCATGATGTTCAGTTAGGGGAGACTTTCTTGGTTAGGTTTATTTATGTATGTATACAAGAACTGGGGTGTAGGCCAGAGGTGCGGGGATGGTGAAAAAGGGTGGGGATCACAACAGGCAGATTCACTGAAGTCCACTGCTGAGGGGAGCGGCGGGCAGGTCAGGAGAGGTCCGCTGTGCCATGTGGTCACCACCCTGGCTGGGGATCGAGCCCATGGTGCAGCGGCCTTGGATGGCTTCATAATGCTATTGAATCTGTTGCTCCACCAGGGAGGGTCCAGGACAGACTCTGTTATTAGCCTCCTTGGGCTTCTTAATTGGTCAAGTTAACTTTTATGTGTATAGTGTCCTCTTTTTTATTTAGTTGAAAGTAAAAATGGAGCCTTCCAACTTTCAGCAGCAGGGCAGGAGGAAGTGCCCAGGTGCCACCCCCTCCACCCACCGACCCGCGCAGCCCCCAACCTGCCTCTTGCCCTGTCCACTGCTCGTGCAGCATGGTGCCCCAGGTCCTGCATTCAGACTCCCGTAGGCGGGGCGTTGGCGGCCAAAGTGCAGAAAGAAGGTGAATGTGGAGAGTATGAACTGACCGCAGACTGCTCAGACGGCGCGGTGGGTGGAACACAGACTGCCGCCACCTGCCCCACACTGGCCGCCCAGAGTTGCGAGGAGGGCAGAGATGACTGGCGCCATCGGCCATCGGGGAGGAGTGGGAACGGGGGAGATGCCCAGAATAACCATGGCTTTGGCCCTGACTCTGACTGTGACCGAGGGGGCTCTTTAAATCCATCTGCTGCTGCGTGGACACAGCTAAGACCTGATTAGGACAGTGAAGTAACCATTCTGAACCGGTGAGAACCTTCTGGATCACCATTGAAGTAAAACACAGAGCAAGAGAAAAACTCTTTGATGTAGAAAGTTTGAGGACTTCACTCAGGAGGTAATCTCAGCTGTGATCAGCTGGATGGAAAACGATCACAGATGCTGAGCACCAGAATGGTAGCATCACTGTCGCCCTGAAGCACATGCTTCTTAGTAAAATTACGGTGATGTGGACATGGCTGATGTGGCTTGGTATCTTGAAAAACATGTTACAGATGACTCCTTGTTTCTTTCCACAAAATTGGACCTAGCAGTGAAGGGGGAGCAGCTGCATCTGGATGCGGGGAAGCATCGCGGGGAACCGCCTGGATTTCCAGCGCAGGCTCTGCAGCTGGTGTTGCCGCTGCCGTCGCAGTTGTGGCCACTGCAGCACTGCAGGACTGTGCTGGTTACCCCCTGAAGAAACAGGACAGCAGAACACGAGAAGGCTGAGATAAAGGAGATGGGGGGTTGCAGAGACACCCCATGCGTAACCGCAAGGAGGGAAATTGGTCCTCAGTTACAAGTGTGTGAGCGTGGGGCAAGAAAAACCCCTCACAGTTCTTCTTTTTTAGCTTAACATTAAGCTTCACTCTACTTTTAAAATAAGCAGTTTGAAATTGCTTATCAAGCTTAAAATTTGACCACATGTGTTATATATATGCAGATCTGATGTAAACCCAGCACTTGTTAGGCATGACATCAAATAAAGAGTGTGCATTAAAGATGCTTCCACAGTAGAGTTTGAAGACATCTGTCTCATCCATTTGTGATTAAAACCTGCCTCTTTACTTTTAGCCCCTGTACCTATACTTTCTTTTATGAACTGTGAAATAAAACATTCCAAAAACTAAAAAAAAAAGGAAATAAAAAATTTTTTTTAAGTTATTCATGTATGCACGCAAGAACTGGAGTACAAGCCAGGGGTGTAGGGGTGAGAGGACTCCCCAGAGACAGAGTGGGGAGCAGAACAGGTGGATGGACTGAAATACACTGCTGAGGGGAGCAGTGGGGTGACCGGAGAGACCTCCCATGCCCCGTGGGTCACTCCCTGGCCGGGGATCGAACTTGTGCTGTAGGGGCTGTGATAGCTTCACGGTGCTGTTCTTTTAACCCCTTGCGCCGCCAGGGAGGGCCTGGAAATGTGCAAGATGTGCTTCTAAACTTGAAGGTGACAGGCCCCGCCTAGCCCAGCAGGCCAGTCTGTTCAGGCCTTTGGCCACTGCCTGGAAGGGGCGCCAGCCAGCCCGTCCTTGCTGACGACGTCGGGCCAGTTGAGCTTCCTTGTGCGGTGGACACTGACTACAGGCATCTCTGCAAGTACGGAGCAGCGTTTTGTACCTTAGCACCCACTGTGTCTTTACGCCTTTCCTCGTTAGCAGCTCTCCCTCGTGAGGGCTGGGGAGGAAGAATGGACCAGGGGAACGCTGTGACAGGTTTGAAATGTCTTTGCCAGGAAATACTTGGGCACGATCTGAAATTGGTGTTCTGCATTATTCCTAGGGTTTTGCGGCCTCCAGGTGGTGGATCCAATTTTTCACTAGGTTTTGATGAACCAACAGAACAACCAGCAAGGAGGAACAAAATGGCCTCTAGCATCTTTGGGACCCCAGAGGAAAACCCCCCTTCTTGGGCCAAGCCAGCAGGTACTGCTTAGATCTGTGCTTTGCTAGTCAGGAGGCTGGGCGGCTGCCCATGCTTGTCACTCCCTGGAGGAAAGACTGGGTCTGCAAAGTGGGAGACCCTGATGAGTCAGGTGGGACTGCAGTGGGTGGCCTGGACCCTCTCATAGTCAGGCACTCCCTAGCACTGTCCCCATTTTGTAACAGGAGACAAACACCTTGAACATCCTGCTGTGAAACCATCCCCGTAATAACATTTACTGAACGTCAGTTAGTGAAAACATGGTTTGCTCTAGGCTTTCTGTGATTTTGATCAGGTGCCAAGTCCAGTGGTGGCAGAGAAGATCCTGAGCCGTCTGGAGCCCAGAGAAGTAACTCGTCGGAGGCAAACTCAGGAGACTTCATAGACCTGAAGGTCAGTGTGGTCACACGGGCAGGACCGGGCTCTGTGGCTGATACAGCTCAGTCTGCCCATGTACTGGGGGCTTCACCCTGCCGGGGGTCTCCCCTGGCGGTCACTGGGAAAGGCGGGGCATGGTGGGGCAGGGCCCCTATCAGGGAGCCGAGGCAGAGGGAGCTATGCGGACTGGGTCTGCGTAGACATCTGGCCCCTGTCCAGCCGGTCAGTCTCGTGTCCGTCAGTTTCAGAGCTTCTGGGTGATGTGTGCTTCCTTTCTCTGCCTCAGTTGTAGCTGCACTTCCTTCTGAGTTCACATTCAGTCTCAGTGGTTTGCAGCCTGCGGGTTTAGGGTTGAACTTTGGAGATCGAGGGACCCAGAGCCCCAGGCACAAGTCTGCAGGGCCTGCCGGGAAGTCCCCCTGCTGGATTGCTGGTGGGAGAAGGGAGCCATTTACCGGCTTCTCATCTGGACAGAACAGCCTTCGAAACGCAGTTGATGACAGGAAAAGTTTTCGGTGTTTGGGTCTTACTGGCCCTGGGCAGTTTATCTGGCAGCACTTTTGTTTGCTTTTGTATAGCCTTGTGCGGTGGATGGAGGCTGCATGTTGTGGTGCGGCCTGGCCCTGCACCCTGAGCGCAGGCTGAGAAGCTCCCCTTGGCCGGGTGGATGCAGCTTCATGAGCCGCCAACGCTTTATTTGTATGTGGCAAAATTAAAACCTGAAGTTAACTATTCTTTTCTTTTGCAGGGAGAAGGTGCCATTCATGGTGAGTCCCAACGCCGAGCAGTGGGTGGCTAGCTCTGCCCATGAGTTTGGAGTGGATCGCGGTTTGGTTCATATCACATCTTGGGGACAGAGGGGAGTGAGACCTGGCTCTGCCCCTGGTGCCAGCTTGCCCTGGGTGGAGGCGAAGGAAGACTGACTGGCTGGCTGTCGGCCAGTGGGGTCCGCGAGCCCTAGCACAGAGGAGCTCGCACAGACCCCTTTGCCCGAGCACGCGCGCCCCCAGGGTGGTGCCAGGCCCTCGGGAAAAGGCCAGGGTGCTTGCAGGGCAGCCCGCAGCATTTCCTGCCAGAGCCTGACCCAGCTGCGGTGCTGACCAGCAGGCAGCGGCAGCCTGTGCTCTGCTCCCTCAGCGGTGATTCAGGGCAGATGTAAAGCGGGACTTGCGTGTGTGAAAAGCAGCTACAATCTTTGGCTAATTTTAGACCTTGGAGTGTTTATTGGCGCGTCCTTAGCAAGTGTCAGAGAACTGCTGCTGGGTGGGAAGAAAGGTTTACGCGTGTCACTGGGGGCACGATGTGCGGGCACCGGGCCCCCCAACCCAGGAAGTGGCCTGTTCCGTCCTTCTCTTCCCTCCCACCTTCCTCCGGGTCTCCTAGTTTTCACACCTATTGTGCCCTGAATTCGGAGGGGAAGGTCCAGCCGCTCAGCTCCTCCCCATGGTCCTCACAGAGGGTGGTGCAACAGGAGCTGCCATTTCAGAGGAACCCAAGCACCTTTTTTCCTGACCATCTTTCACTCTGTTCAGGAAGCTGTCTGGGCCCTTCGTGGACTTCCTCATCCTGGGGAGAATCTCACTCTTGTTTGTTTACGGCAGTGCCAGCAGCATGCTGGGTAACGCCAGAGCAGCATCCAGTGTTGCCATGGTAACAGCACCAGCCCCTCCCCTCCGTGATGTCACCTGTAGCCCCCTAGTCTGGCTGCAGGAGCAGCTGTGTTTTCTAGAAGCTGCGCCTCTCGCCCTGGTCGTGTCGGTCACCTCAGGTAGTGCAGAGGTGACAGCCCTGGTGGAGAGCAGCCCTTCCTTCCCCTTCCTGCGCTGCCCTGGGCACCCAGGTCGCGGCGAGGACAGAACTCTCCCACTGGACTAAGGCCTCTTCGTTGCCATTTGTTTCCAGTTTGTTCCATTTGAAAAATCGTTTTGGAGATTACAAAAAACTCCTAGGTTTTTTAGTTCTAATGCTGTTCATATTCTGCAACACTTCCATGGTCAGGCCTGAGTCAGCAAGACTCAGCCAGTGTTGGTTTGCTAATTTTGGCCAAACAGTGATTGGAACGTTGGGTGACTGGAGACACAGTGGAGCCATGCTGAAGCTGTCGGGAGCGTGGCCTCGGTCTGCTGAGCCACTCGCCTCTCCTGGTCGCCTGGGCAGGGCCTTGGGGACACACTGGGGGCTGCCGGCTGGTGTGGCAGGCCCTGGGTTTTTAAACAGTTGTCTGGTTTTTGGCCCCTCATGATTCTGTGTTTCTGACAACCACTACTTTCGGTTCATCTGTCATAAAATGACAAAGGACATGATCGTCGAGAGGGAGGCTTGGTGAGGTCAAGGTCAGCTCAGTTCTATTACCAGGTTCACCTCAGAGCCGAGGACTCTGCTTGGTCTAAGTAAGTCAGATTTTGTTTAGGTTTAAGGAAAACTGCCTTCGTCTTTTGGGTAATTAAACACAGGAACAGCTGCCGGGGAAGCTTGGAAATTTGTAAGGAGGTCGGACAAGGAGGCTGGGCAGACACGCGCGGTCCCTCATGAGGGCGGTGAGGACACTCTCGCTCGGGGACGGTCCCGTTCTCCCTGACCTTGCCTCCCGTCCTGAGAGGGAAGGATTTTTTTTTTTTTAATAATAGTTTATTTTTACATCCTTTTGTACATTTTTTTTTTCATCTCGGTTGTAATCCCCGTGGGTTTCCCATCATCAAGTCACCATAGTCCAGTGCATTTGAGGGAAAGATTCTTTTTTTTCTGAAGTTTCTGTCCATTTACCTTATTGATGTGGTAAAGAAGAAAGACAAATTGGGAGTTTAAAAGATTGTTTTGCAGTTGTATTTTTGTTCAAGGCCCCATTTACAAAAAATTACTACATTCAACATACAAAAGCTTTCTCTTTCAAGTTGCTACAAAAGTTTCAAAATCCTTGCTCTGGACTCTCAAGCCAGGAGCCCAGGGGACTTCCCTTTTCTCTGCTAGGAGCACTTCTGATGGAGGGGGCATTTAGGATGAGGCCTGCTGTCACTTAGTGACCCCACTCCCTTTCTCTTGGCATGTGGCTGTCTGTGAAAAGCAAGACAGTTCTGTTAAATTAAAAAAAAAAAATAGAATCTGGGCATGAGCTGAATTTATCTAAAAATTGTTTTCTGGACAAAAACTCACGGTTGAACTGCCAGACAAAGCTGCTTGGGGCGGGATGGTGGACAGGGAGAAATGGCGGCAGCTAGGCCTGGTGGGCCGGATCAGGCTGCCCCCGTGGGGTGCAGTCATCGCTTGGATTTTATTTGATGTGGGGTTTTGCTTGTGTTTCAGTGAGTACAAGATAGTTTCCCCCGTTACTTCAGGGGCACTTGAGCTTGACGTTGGTCATTTAACCCTGTTGTATTTCTAAAAGTATTTATTTATGCAATTGAGAACTGGGGTACAGGCCAGAGGTGGGGATTGAGGGACTTACAGGGGAGCAGAACAGGTGGGTGCACTGAAACACTGCTGAGGGGAGCAGCGGGGAGACAGAAGAGGTCTGCCGTGCCTTGTGGGTCACTCCCTGGCTGCATTGGCAACGGACAGCTTCATAGTGCTGCGCTTCAACCTGTTGTGTCACAAGGGAGGGCCCTCGTCCTGTTTCTTACATAACAAGAGTGAAGCAATAGGAAACTGGGAAGCCACTCTGTCTTTCCAAGTGTTAGCTCTTAACTGATAGCTTACACTTTGCAAAGCTTCATACTAGATTTTTACTCGTACTTAGAGTATAGAACATTAGATGCTTTGCAAGTTGCCTCTAGAGAATACTCCAGAAACCCACAAAGTGCACTGGTAAGAGCAACAGTAGCCTATTTCACCCTTTATCTGGTGCTGGTTTAAGACCTCTTCCCCTCAGACTTCTTGGTTTTAGTCAGCTAAATCAAAACTTGCTTTAGGAACATAAAATGTTACTATTTAGTCTTTGAGGAACTTAAAAAAAAGGACACTTTTTTAAAAAGTAGAACATTCCCTGGGGGCTGTATGAAGTTCTCACAGGGTGTCTCACAGTGTTCTGCTGCTGGGCTTCCAGGGTTTCCAGCTCCTAAAATGGGAGCAGCAAGGCCTGAGGTCCTGAAGGCCTGCGTTCCCCCAAGTCTTAGGCCCTAGCGTCCAGCCTCTCACAACCAGCATTCGGGGGTGTGTGTAAGAGAGATTATCCTACGGCAGGTTTTCGAATATACAAATCCCGGCCGCGGATAACCTCTGAGACCGGCCTACTTACAGAAATAAAAAATAGATCTAACACACCTTAAGCTGTTAAAAGTCTTCACTCAGTCTTGATTTTGAATCAGTGACTTTTCTAGCCTTAAAAGATACTTGCTAACAAGACAAAATAAGGTCCTGAAGGGTTTGTTGCCTGTGACACAAACAGGAAGGCGCCTGCCCGGCCTCTGGCCCAGGCGGGGCTTCTGTGCCTCTCAGGGCTGGCGCGGGGTCTGCGCCGTCTGCAGGGTGCCCGGCACAGTGCCAGCGCAGGTGCCCGCCAGTGCGTGTGCTGCCCTGTGTCAGTACCCCGGGTCTGCTCAAATCCTATAGAGCAGTTGAGGGAGCGAGGACCGTGTGGGTGAGTACAGGCGACTGCCCAAGAGCATGAAAGGAAGCGGACACATCTGCTAGGTGCTGCGCAGACTAGGTCCTGTGTTGCCCGTGAGAGTAACTTGGACCTCTAGAGTGCAGGTAACAGTGGCCAGGGGCATGCTGAGCTCATGAGGCCTGGGGTGGAGGTGGAGGGCCAGGGGAGGCGGGTTGTGCTCCGTGGCCCACAGCCTCTCTGTGAGGCCTTAATTTGAGTGATTTTTGTTACAGGGTCACCCAGAGTGGACTGGGCCGCCTGTCTGTGGGGCCTCACCCGTGCTCACAACCCAGTTATACTGCAGGCGCACACAAAAAAGTCAATAACGGGTTTATTTACAAAAGGGGAAAGGAATAGGAAACAACCCAGGGAAAGAGAGGGATACAGAGTAACTGGAACACCTTAGGGCTGGCTGAGTCACCAAGCAGGCCGCCCAGGAGAGCCGGTTCTGGAGCTCAGCTCCGCCCTGGGTCCTGCTGCTCTCCCTGGTGCTGCTGGGAGTTGTGTTTCCAGTCGCTGAGTGGGGGCGGAGTCCATCAGACTGCAGAGTCCTTTAGGACGGCCTTCCCCTTCACAATCTGACTTCACGTGGTGCATCTGTCTTACCAAAGGGCGAAAGGGCGCAGACAGGGAAGGGCCTGCGCACGCCGCGGCGGCTGGCTCTGCCCAGGTGGGCCGTGGGACGTCGCTCCCTTCTGTCTGGGGCTGTGTCTCGTCAGCCACAGGCACAACAACGGAGACGTCCTCTTAGCTGGACTGGTTACTGACCTGCGCTTTGTTTTCCTAGAACACGTGGACACAGACTTGCAGGCCAGCCTGGGGCAGAGCGAAGAGAAGCCGGTGCCCGCGGCCCCTGTGCCCAGCCCGGTGGCGCCCGCCCCGGTGCCGTCCCGGAGAAACCCTCCCGGCGGCAAGTCCAGCCTCGTCTTGGGTTAGCTCCGCCGCCGCCCGCTGTCGTTTTGTTTTTCTCCATGCTTGTGAACTGCACAACTTGAGCCTGACTGTACATCTTTTGGATTTGTTTCATTAAAAAAGAAGCACTTTATGTACTGCTGTCTTTTTTTTTTTTTTTTTGGAACAGGTTTCTCTTTACCGCCCTGGTTCCTCGGGTCTGTAGCCCATGGCATGAATGTTTTCTAGCAGTAGTTTGGAGGGAAAGCTTTGTGACAGTGCTGTGTTTCTAAGAACAGACAGTTTGGTTCCAAATGTGTTAGAGGGTCTTTTGTACCGCAATTTTTAAAACCCTTTTCTTGTCAGCTTTACTTGGGTTTAGAGGCCTGGATTGGACAGCCCAGTGAACCGTCCGCAGGCACCCCCTGTGTAGACCCAGCCTTGGGGGGCCCAGACTTGTCAGTGCTCTTTGCTAAGAGCATCTTCTGTGCCATGTGGGACAATACAGAGGCTGGGGCCTCGTGCCTTGCTGCCTGCAGAGCGCAAAAACTGCCTTTTCTTGAACCGTCAAACAAGCCAGGTCCTACGTGGATGGGCAGATGGGCAAAGCCCTCTGCTTCCGCGCAGCGCAGGCCGCGGGGTTCACATGCACTGGCTGGTGCCGGGAAGCGAGCAGGGGTGACCACATCCCCAGGCTGCCTGGCAGTGCTCGTCCGAAATACCTTGAAGCTGTGTGCATGATGCTGGTGCTTAACCTGCAAGGAAAGTCTCATCCTTACAATGTGTGTTGTTCTTTCTCAATCCTGGACTGTTGTGTATAGTAAACAATGTACAAATTTTGAAACACTGTGTCCTGTGTCATCTTTTTGAGCTGGTTTCAGTGTCTAACCTTGTTTAGTTGTTTTTTCTTTTTGTTACTGGCAGCCCAGCTGGATGAGTCCTGAAAGTTGCAACTGTTGGGCAGGCCCAGAGAGAAGTGGGCACCCCACTAAGTTAGCAGGAGTTTATTGGATGGGGGGGGGAGTGGTGTTTGACTAGGGACATGGGAGACAGAAGAAAGAGCACCCTGAGTTCTAGGCAGAAAGTTCCAGAACATGCTAGATTAAATGTTGGGCATTGTTTATACCTGGCTTTGTTCTTGTGTGTGCTTAAGATTTATCTATGCATACAAGAACTGGGGTCTAGACCAGAGGTTTGGGGGTGGGGGCAGTGAGAAGATCCACCAGAAACAATGGGGAGCAGAACTGGCAGAGGGACTGAGATACACTGCTGCTGAGGAGAGCAGCGGGGATGCAGGAGATGTCTGCTGCTCCGTGTGGGTCGCTCCCTGGCCAAGGATCGAACTCCGGCCAACTCAGCTGTAGTGGTTGGTGATGGTGGGAGAGTGCTGAAACTTTAACCACCAGGGAGGCCCATGACCTGGCTGTATTCCTTTGGCTTGTCACTTGGGGCTTGGTTTTCTAACGTAAAACAGGCTTCTTAAGAGGTTGCCACCAAGCTTGCAAGGTGACTGCGATGATGGGGCTGGTGTGACTATCGGCAGATTTGAGGAAACGGCAAACATGTTTGCCACGGGTGTTCATTTTTCCAATTAGGAAGTTTGGGGCATATAAAGAAAGCAAAGGAAACTGAAACTTCTAGCTGGGGAGAAGAGATTGGCAGTTTCCTGGGGGTGGGGACTAGGGGGAGAGGGGGTCAGTTTCTGCAGAGTGGAAATTTATGTTGCCGTGCCTTTAGCGCCCTGACCTCTTGGCGCAGGTGTGCACACTTGCACATGCACGTACCGGTGCGCAGGTGTCCATAGTCAGGCAGTGGCGCCCCACACCTACGCAGCCTCTGTGTTAACAAGACCAAGGCCACTGGTGATAGCCACAGAGCCGGGGACGACACAGCCTTATCAACATTTACCCTACGTTGCCATCAGAACTTTTCACCCAATTGGGGACCAGAGAAGGAGCAAGGAAGAACAGTGGAGAGAACCCAGCGTTCTTAAGCCTTTTTGTCTGTTAATACATACAGAACCGGGATACAGGCCAGTGGTGAGGTGAGCGGATTCACCAGAAACAGCGGGGAGCAGAACGGACAGACGGACAAAGTATACTGCAAGGGGAGCAGTGGGGAGACGTCGGCTGCGTCATGTGCATCACTCCGGCGGGGATCAAACTCGGCCACGGCTTGACTTAACTTCGTGCAGGGCAGCGCCGGCGGCCAAGGGCCTCTCAAGTTTTTGAAATCAGAGCACTTTAGGAGCCGCCAGGCGCCCCTTTGTAATGCTCGTTAACACTGGCTTGAAAATACTGGGGTGTCAGCTGGGGGGCAGGGAGATGGCTCACTGGCTGGGCTCTGAGCCAGCAATGTGTAGAGAAATAAGCTGCGTGTAGTCAGGAAGTGGGAGACGTCTACGAAAAGCCAACAAAATGCAACTGAGAGCATCGCTGTCCGTTCAGTGGACAGCCGCCCCCACCGCCTGAGCTCGACGAGAGCCACTGTCCGGGTGGAGCTGGCGCTTCAAGCAGACGCCCCCGCACCCCATAAAGCCGCGAGCCAGTCTCCTCTAGGAACTCGCACAAACCCAGCGTCCCCCAACGATCTCGTGGCTCCGAGACGCCGTCAGGATCGGGCTCTTGGGTGGGTCTACTGCGTGGGGGGGCGAGCTCTGGTTCCGGGCCCCGCACCCCATCAGCGGGGAGAACAGAGGGCCGCCGCCCCGGGATCAGAGCCGCCCCGGGATCAGAGCCGGGTTGTGGGGAAGGTGCCGCCGGGCCCCAGACTTGACCCTCGACCTCTCGTTGGAGAGCCCGCCCAGAGCGTCGGGGGGCCCCACTGGGGCCCAGGGAGGTCGGCCGCCGGCGCCACCTGGGGAGAGCGGCGTTGGGCGGCTGCAGCGTGGGCG